TTCAGAGTGACTAGGCTTTGTTTCTAAGTATAATGACCCAATCATATGCCCAAAGGACAGAAAAGTAGTAGTACGCTTTGTTTGTGTATATTCGATGACCAAACTAGATTTTGTTTCTAAGTTGAATGGTCTGACTTTACACCTATTGTAAGCTAGGTATAAAGGATAAATCATTAAAAGATTATGAATTATTGTTGACAAGGTTCAACCTTGGGACTGGGTAAAAGTACTTACCACTATAGTTTGGACTTGTATTTGTCTGAGTGAGAGATTTACATAGTTTGAGTTTCAGTTTGATAGGTAGTTGATTTAGTTGCTCGCCACGTGTTAGAGCTATTATAGGACTTAGTTCAATTCCTACATTTTCTGTGCTAATTTTTTTTTACTGAGGTCAATTTCCACATTTTCTGGGATCATTTATTTTATCTGACTTTGTATAAATTTTGGAAAGTCACTTTCTCTATGTGAAGCGCTGCCGAAATTTTTACAAGTTAGCTAAATTTTGACTTTTCAAAGTTCAACTTTTATCTAAGTTTATATATGGCTTAGAAGAAATATGTAAACCTTTTTTTCTAGGAGAAGTGTGTGCCCAAATTTTTGCTAATTCAGAGAGTTCGACAAAATTTGACTTTGAGAAGCCATAGTCATTTTATAACCTGTACTTAGCTTTGTATAAATTTGAGAAAACTATTTTTTTTACTGGAAGCGCTGCCATAGTTTATACAAATCTAGGGAGTTAGTTAAATTTTGTCTTAGCAGAAACTAAAGTCTTATTTCGAGTACTTATCCGACTTAGTATGAATCTGGGAAGTCCACTTCTCTAAAGGAGATGCTGCTAAAATTTTTAAAGGGAGTTAGACAAAATTTAACGTTTTAATGTTAAGGACCGTTTTGATTTTCATATTCGAGCGAATATAAATTATGATAAGGTACTTTTCCTAAGGGAAACGCTGCCAAAATTTTCTTAGTTTAAAGGAGTCAGATTATATTCTGAAATGAAAGATTCTGGCAATCCACCCTAAATATGTGAGATGCTGCCAACAAACTTATTTTCCTTGGACACTTGCTTAAAGGTAGGCTTATACTTAGTTATAAGAGGATTTAAGTGAGGCAAGATATGAAGATGATTCTTCATATACTTATAAGCTTAGTTGAGAATTGACCTGTCTTGTGTTACAAGTCTCTTTTTAGCATTTCGATTCGGGTTTGGGCTAGTTTCAACTTGATCCCACGAGACTCATCTTTTGTTATCACTGATAACGTGTCGGTTGTCAATTTTTGGTTACGACTCAACTTCGATTCACTCTCGGTACTCAACCTAAAGGTTTTCGCCTTGTAGTTTGATTGTTTCATTGGGTTTTTACCCAGACTTTATTAAATAACCATTTAACAAAGATACTGAGTATTTTATTATGGAAGGTTTGACAAAGGTTGAGACTTGTGCGACTAAAGCGAGGGATATGAGAGCAGAGAATGGTTGAAGTTGACCCTATGTAGTACGTGGACTTTTGGTTGAATCCTTGATGTGATTGTAGATATGGTTGCGGTTCGGACCGTGACTCTGGATTTGACTGTCTGCGATCACATATATACGGTTGTAGAAGGTCACACAATGTTTGTGAGAAGTGATCGTCTCGTGTTTTATAACCCTCTATATATGTATATCCTAAGTGTTTGTGCGACATATTGTGAGCGCGTGCGAGGGTTGAGTAGATTTTGTGTCTGAGAGGAAAGGGGGATCCCCTTTACTTTTTGTTTTTTGTATTTATTATAGTTTGACGTTGAAGTCTTTCACAACCATCAAAGTTGAGCCCCTTGACTTCTCTTCCGACCCTGGATGATTAAGCTCGTCTCCATGGTGATAAAACCGGATTGCCACGAAAGTCTTGAAGCTGTCTACCACCCACTCTCCGCAGGGTGCAAATGCATGTTGTCAAGCATCGAGAGATTAACCCCTCAAGGCGCGTGTCAGCCGACACTTGAGTGTCGAACGTGACCCCCGAGACCACTGGTGACGCGATTATGGGTACTACGTAGTATGCCATTACTACTACTGCTTGCGTATTCATGCATGACTAATCGACATGAGGAAGCCCTACGTTCACGTGGTTTTATCTTAAGTTTCCCGCGTGACGCCTTACCTATTTCCGTGCCTGACGGTTATGGGTTGGATGATAAAGGGACTAATAGTGTTTTGTTTCGTGTAAGTAATCTGACTTTTGCTTCGGGGTGGTGTAGCGCGTGGTAAGAAGGATGTGTCCTAAACGACTGATGAGGTGCCGCGCTTGGGACTTCAGCCCCCCCGTGCGTCGGTTCGCGTACGGGTCCGATAGAGGCGTGGGACAACGTGTACCCCTTATGGCACAACGTATGAGAAACGCCATCGGCTGGACCACCTCTGCAATTGCAGCTGATCAACTTTCGCACGTGGTTCAGTAGCTCGGCGGGGATATGCCCATTCAAGGGTGGTGACATACTCTTGGGCGGAGGTAAGTTGTACCTCACGTGACCCTATCTTGTCGTAGGGGTTCACGTAGGGGTTCGCGAGAGGTATGGCTGACGCACTCGGTCGGAGCGATGACGGAAGCTCCATTGCACTGCGTTAAAGGATAAAGTTCTGCCGCAAATCCTACGTGATGTGACCGGGAGGGTCCCCCTCTAGAACCGATGCGCGCCACAACGTCGGCGGGAGTGGTGGTTCAAACCACCACTGCAACACTGCCAGTGACCGACATATGGGAAAGGTCTTGGTGGTTTAAACAACCAGAACCTCTCTCAGCTAAAAAAAAACGTCGCGGTCATTAACGCGCCGCGACTTTCAGGGGTCGGGGAAACCAACGCCCGGTCGGCGCAGTTTCCCCCCCAAAAAAAATCACGCAAAAAGAAAAAAAAAAAGCATTTCTTTCTTAAAAAAACAACGACATGAAAAGGAAAAAACAAACGGAAACTTTGTGATCCTCAATTGACTTCAGACGAGCGGGGCACGACCCTACTCGCGGGGTCTCTCTCTCTCTCTCTCTCTTTGAGCCCGTGAGTTTGTGTGTGTGTGTGTGTGTGTGTGTGTGTGTGAGAGAGAGAGAGAGAGAGAGAGAGAGAGAGAGAGAGAGAGAGAGAGAGAGAGAGAGAG